AAAGCATCATCGATAACAATGGAGACTATTTCATTTTATAAATGTTTTGTTTTGATATATAAGTTGTTCGGGTTTTTTCATCTAAACAAAAGCGACATTAATTTCTTGACGACCTAATACATTATTACTTATTTTAATTTTAACACAGGCTGTTTATATCTCGGCATCAGAAAACTAAACACGATAGATGATAGCTGAATGTAATATTGAAGTTCAGTTAATTAGTGTATTCAACATACACACAAGTGGTCTTGTTAACGTATTTTAAGACTGGAAGAAAAGTTGCCCATGTTAAGATTTTACAGAACATAAGTAAAACAGGTTATATAAAGCAATTGTAATAAAATCAATTTGTACTTGTTTAACAATTAACTTAGAATATCAATATATAAGTAATTTAGTACTACAAGAAACCTTGTATTACGACGAAATGATGTTGTAGTAATTGTATAATATACGGACTGTTTCATCTAAGTTACGATTGGGCAAAGTACTGTGTTATGATGGTCAAATAATTAATTATACAATAATGTTAGGTTAGCCGTAAAACAATCAACCCGTTATTGTTATTCTGGGAAAAAAATCTTACGAACCAATATAATATAGAATATGGTGAACAAATTCAAAATATGTTATTTTAATATAATTTATTTACTATGTTAAGCATAGAATTATGATTTAAACCTGTATAGTCAAACATACTCAATCGTTTCTAGAATGGCAAATTCGACGATACTATATTAAAGAAGCCCCATCTTCCTTTGTGTCTACCAACAATATTTAAATGCTCATTTTAGAGAAAAGTTTCATTATAGTTTGAATATAAAATGGAGTGCCTTAAAATAACACCAATCTTTGGGTACGACCATTCACCGCATGTGATGTTTATCGGTCACGTGCTGACTTGGCTAATGACACATAACTATATTTGAATATGGAAAATTGAAGGAAGCAAAATTTGACAAACTTGTATTATAAGGGTATTCGCACCAAAAGGAACTTTTTTTCAACAAAATATTCTTTAAAAAATAATCTGAATTATCTGTGGATGTGTTACAAGTCATTATAGATTTTTTTGTGATTAAATGTTTTTTTATTGTTTTTGTTTTTAAAGTGAAAAAAATGCCAGTTACCAGAGAGAATTAGAATTGTTGCATGTCTGGAAGTCTAGAGCCGTGTCCCAACTGAAACAAAACGGAAAAGTCAAATGTAATATAAAACTTTCATTTCATAGTATATGTAAATCACTATTTTTTACAGCAAACTACAAAGTTCCTTTCGGTATGAATACTTAAAGTTCCAACAAAAGTCGTTTCTTTTGCTGTTAATCTATATTTCTTTAAAACTCTGACTGACAGCTAAAATGTTCAAATACTTCCTTATTATTGACACAAAATCACACCTATTATTCATTTTGGTTTACCGAATGCTTAAACGTTCAAATTACAACACGTGTTTTACCGTTTCACACTTTTCTATAAGCTGGCTTCTGGCACATTCCAATCATTTGAAAAGCAGAAAAACACGTGAGGATAAAAGTGGAACCGTGAGAGAATAAGTTAATACAAAAGTTGAGGGGGGCAGCATAATATAGGAAAACAAACTAAAAAGAAAAAAACATAGCAATCCGCGAATTTAAAGAAAATGGTGTGTTTTAATGGTGAAAGATGTCTTATTGTTAAAATTCAACTAACAAATGATCCAGAATGAAGCAGGGTCAAGTAAGCCGTTGTACGTAACAGTTTATAATGAATAGGCAGGGTCAAGTAAGCCGTTGTATGTCACATTATATAATGAACGGGCAGGGTCAAGTAAGCCATTGTATATTACAGTATATAATGCACCAGCAGGGGAAAGTAAGCCTTTGTATGCTACAGTATATAATGAACAGACAGGGTCAAGTAAGCCGTTGTATGTTACAGTATATAATGAACAGACAGGGTCAAGTAAGCCGCTGTATGTTACAGTATGTAATGCTCAGGCAGGGTAACGTATGCCGTTGTATGTTACTGTATATAATAAAAAGGCAAGGTCAAATGTATTTGGATGACTTAAAAAAATTATCTTAGCATGTAATGCAGGATAAAATACATACAGCTGTAATCAGTGTTCTGTTGTAAACAAGAAATATCTGAAATTAAGTATGAGCATGGTAATATTTAGTGAAGAAAACTCCACACGTGTTTAGAAATAGGGCAAGTTTTACCAAATATTTCAACTAGAGGGTGGAGGGGGTTGAGAATGTTTAATGAGCATGTGGCACCACTTTATTTTGAGAGATTCATTGCCTAGGAAGAATTCTACAAAGTAAAGCCCTTAAGGAAGTACAGTAATCTGAAACTTTAGTGTTTCGATAAGGAAGCCTACGATGCGTTTGCTGGAGTTTACAGATTATAGACGCTAAGTACATAACAAAAGGAAGTTTGTTTCCCGGTACATTATGTTTATTTTTTCAACTGAACGTGATTTTCTTTCGAAATACGTAGTATATATAGCAATAAATGAATGATAACAGCTCTACGGTACATTTTAAACTTCACTAAGGCGGGCCAAAAGTGCTATTTCCAAAACAAATCAAAGTTATGAAAGTACTTTCTATTATAATGATTTAAAGAGTAAATGCTGAAAATATTTTAGTTATGTAACACCTATAGTCTCTTGGTTTCATTATAATAATGCAAAACATATTTTACAATAAATACCAAAGGAAACCCAGTGTGATTTTTATGTTTTACATCAATTCAGTTATTCTAGATAAGCTACTGTATGCTAAATTTCCCATTGAATCAATAAAATGCACTGAAATACTGACCATGAGTGAGCAAAAGGGGGCTGCTCCGTCAAAAATGGGTTGTATCCTGTGGGGTCACTGACCAAACTATGGCTTGAAGTCAGAGACAAACCTTCACCTAACCCTGAGGTGGAAGGGTGGGGATGGGAACGCAGCATCAGCATCAGGACAGACAGTAGGAGCCCGAGAAAAGGGGATCCCACGATTACTAGCCAGGTCAGCAACCGCTGTTCTGCGATGTGAAGATTTGTGTGTTTTATACCTGCGCACAACTTCGTAACGTGTACACACTGGCGACAAAAGTACGCCAAGAGCGCGTGCCACGGCAGGCATAAAGTAACCAGCGTATTTCGATCACGCGCTCTCGTGGCCTGATGCAACTTCTGCTGATAGGTTGATCCCTCCTCACCAACTGGTTCAAAAACAAATTCAGCCCAGTCCCCCCCCTCAGTAAAAATAAAACAAAATAAAAATTAACATTTTTCAAATATCATTGAACAATATTCCTTTTAATTCTGGAATGAATAATTGTTCATTTTTGACTATGTATGTGATCGCCAAGCTCATAAAATGTGGAGAAAATTCAAAATTAACAATAGATTCCATGACATTATTTGATCTTATACGATCAAAAAAATAAATACAGAAAATATGTTTTTTTTTACTTGAATATTTTACAGTGATCAGCAAATCATTTTGAATTAAACAACTGAAGTCATGTATTTTTGGAGAGATAACATCTAGACACTTAGCACTAAAGACAGGGTTCAAGGTAGCAAAGATAATAACATACGAAAATAATTTTAAAATATCCTATGCTAAACATATAGATGTATTATACCACTTCAAGTCTTGATGATCTTTAAAACAGCAGTTCAAGATTTAAGTTTATTAAGCTTATAAGAAACCAAAAATGTCAAAGAACTTTAGGAGTTGAAATTCAAAGTTCTCAGGAAAGAATATATATATATATCATTACCCAGTACAACCTGTTTAATAACTGTCTGTATATTTAAATTTTTGAACAGCGTTGTTATCCAGTGGTTATAGGTTCACTATATACAGCAATGTTACTAAACAGCAATGTTATCCAGCACTTAATAGTAAACGGCAGTATTAACAAGTATATATCTACAATAAACCAATACTATGGGCAAAATTCAAATTTCTTTGAAAGTCCTTTATAATAACCTGAGTACTTTATTCACTTCCATCCGTACATCAGGCAATAACATTATTTAAAATTCTAATCTAATTCATTCGCAATTTGACTATTACAAACATGCGAAATTTGTCAAATCTAACGTGTTCTTCAAACCTGAGATACAAACTTCTGATATAAAAATTAGTAAACATCAGGGAAAACGCTGGAGAATAATAGATAATGTAACAACAGTAAAAATTAAAAACTTAACACACCAACAGAATATGTAATACTGGTAAACATCAAGAAAAGCGTCTGTAAACTAGCTGATGAAGTAATAACAGTAAAAAACACTGGCATACTAGCACATCTTGTAATTATAGTAGATAATAGAAAGAACATCTGTAAAGACCAATAGAACACGTAGTATAAGCCTAATATCATAATTTCTGTATGTTAACACTACAGGTAGTAATAGTAAGTATGAGGAAGAACGTTTGTAATAATGTACTAACGATTAAAATCAGAAAATGTCTACAGAATATGTAAAACATGTGAATTCGTGACTCTTGAAAAAATAGAGTCGTTCACCGTTTAAAAAATGCAAATATTTGTTTAACTTTCTTAAAGGCCTTGTAGAACTGAAATTTAAAAATTAGATTTATTGGATCCTGTACAATGAGAACAATACTTCAGAATTTATACACTAAATAACCACCTTTCTCTTACGAATAATAACTTCATCAATATGTCTACACTTGTCCCATGAAGTACCCGATTATATGAAAGTTTTTTCTTTTTTTAGGTTAATAATATGAGATAACAGCCAACACATTTCCGCGAAGGACTAAGGATATCAGCAGCCACACATAACTTATCATCAAAGTTCCTGTTAAGTACTCTTCATTTTCTCTGTTGTTCGTGTGCTTAATCATATCAATTTGACAACGCCGAGTTCCTTTCGCAACATCACTTGTGTGGAAATGTTGTACACTTAGACCATCTCTGAATGGACCATAAAAAAGGGAATCATAGGTGCTGTATAAGTCAAGACTCTATGTTGGTAGATTCTGCCACCTCTATCATAAGTGCATAATCCGTTAATTCAATGCTGTTTTTTTTATCAATGATGAAAGAAATAATAATATAAATCCATGTACGATTTGACCATTTCATTGTGTTCGACATTTTTGATTGCTATAACGTCACATAGGAATCCAAAAATTCAGATGTAATCAAATCTGTCTCTCAATATCATTAAAGCATAATCCTCTACTATGACTACAATATAAAAAAATAATTATTGAATCATTCTTATGCAGAAATGATTGACTCATTCTCAGATTACCGAGGCGGGGCGAGGGTGCCCTGTGGTTAGCGTGTTCGGACTGAACATCCGAGGGTTAACGGTTCGGAATCCCTTTCTACAAAAGCGTGATCTGTAGTACTTTGGGGCCGTGAATACAGTATAAAATTGACAGTCAAGTCACACTATTTAATGATATAAGAGTTACCCAGGAATTGGCGGTGGATGCTGTTGATTAATTGCCTTTTTCTAGTCTATCAGTTCAAAATGCATGAAATTATGAAACAAAAAATTAGAAGGATGACAAGAGTCTCTGTTATTCTGAATAAACAGGTGATTCTTGTGTCAATCCTTTAGCGTTTGTCATGGCACCTTCGAAACAAAATAAAGGCCAGTTTTACTAAGTACATATTGAAAATATTTATTATACTGTATATAATACCGTTCAACATACACATTATCACTGTGTCAAATCATAGTGCTTCACTAATAGTTTCCAGTGTGTGTTTGTGTGTATGGGTTAGTCTAAATAAAAAAGTTAAAGTTATCACAGAGATTAAAAACGATATTCAAAGAGTCTGTAAAATACTCTCTTTTAGATCCTACCCCACTAAAAGATTCCTAAATTACGCATAAATAAACTAGTCATTCTTCATTCTTCACAAGGATAATAACACACACACATATGGATATATTTCACAGTTATCTGTGTTACATCGAAGGCACACAGGCGATTACTCAGCTCTACATAGCCCTGACACGATAATTATGTAGAAAGCATTTTTATTGCAGATTTACTCGCCAACAAATATATCATCGTGCCAGCAAAATTGTATCAAAACAATGTATGGTATCATTCTAAAGTGAAAATATATGCGGCTATAGCACCGTAACATATTGGGTATATTCCGACACAATCAAAATAACAGGGTTAAGATCTTGGCCCAGATCCCACTACCACTCACCGTCTACAGCCGGTTGTGGGCAGGATAGTCAATCCTAGAAACATACATTAAGGAGGAGGTAGGGAGGAGTACCAGAACTACAGAGGTGGGTTTATAGATTATAACACCATATGTTATATTACAAAACTAAATATACAACATCACGTATCATTAGAAATATAAAAAAAAAGAGTGGAGGTTGGGTGGTATGTTTTTAGAGAAATCAAGAGTGGTTGATGATATCATATTTCTATTTTCATGGCTTCAGGGAATATTATCATGCCCACAACCGGGTACAGACGGTGAGTCGTAGTGAAATATAGGATGTTGTGGGCTCTGGAACGCAGATTCTAACCTCTTATCAAATCTGTAGCTGGCTTTTTAGTTTTGTATTTGCTGTTTTGATTATATCTCATTGACGGAAAATATCTAATACTTTTAGGTGTTATGGCCACAGACATTTAGACTTTTTTATACATAGTATAATTTTACATTATTTTGTTACAGTTTTGCTGCGCGATCGCATATTTGTTTGCGCGTATATCTGTAGTTGCAGTTTTACATAATTATCTTATCAGGTCTGTCCAGAGCTGAGAAATTGCCTGATGCAATACAGAAAATGGTAAAATATGTTCATATATAATGGTTGAAGACAGCTGGAATAGGTAATGAAGAAAAACTTTAACATAACAGCAAATGTCAAATGTACAACATTTCGACAAGGATTTGTCATCATCACTTATGTTAAACTTAAATTAAAGTTTTTCTTCATTACCCATTCAAGCCGTCTCCAACCCTAATTAGTTTCAAAGTGGGTTTCTCGTCATTGAATATTCATATATATTTATTCAGGGGTCGAAACCTACGACGGGCACAGTGAATAGCCCTTTATGTAGTTTGCGCTTAAAAACAAAACTACAATTTTTCCATCGCAAGTTCTTCGTTGTATTACTAATAACTAATTTAATTCCCTTCACTGCTAGCGACTATTCTCAGGTTTATTACCAATTAACTAACTTAATTCCCTTCACTACTAGCGACTATTCTCTGGTTTATTACTAATTAACTAACTTAATTCCCTTCACTACTAGCGACTATTCTCTGGTTTATTACCAATTAACTAACTTAATTCCCTTCACTGCTAGCGACTATTCTCTGGTTTATTACTAATTAACTAACTTAATTCCCTTCACTGCTAGCGACTATTCTCTGGTTTATTACTAATTAACTAACTTAATTCCCTTCACTGCTAGC